GGTTCGACTCCCTTACAACCCACTGCATTGCACTATGTCAGCTTCCGTTCAGAATTAGAGGACAGCCCTGTCCCTCCAACTTTGCGATGCCGTTTATATGATCTCTTTCAACAAATTGAAAAGGAATTTGAAATGTTGTATACTGAAAATCTTGGATGTAAGTATCACTATTACATTTTCTAATTATCGAACACAAATATTAACGCTATTGTGTTTCATTACAGTACAGGAGAAGATTGACATCCTAAATGATAAACTTGAAAGAGAGTGTTATGGGTCAGGTGAACGCAGTTTACCTCCTGGAGATCTTACAGATTATCCAGAAACGAAAAATCTTTCTAAACAGAAATGTAAGACTTTGCTGCAGTATTGTACTAATATTCCATATATATAAATACATGTGTTTAATAAATCACATATCATATATAAGCGTGAAAAAAAATATATTTAAAAAATAGAGTATTTATTAAATAAAATCAAAAGTTACTTTTATCTCTGACAAAATTAATTTTTTGATATATTTATTATTTTTTGATAGTTTCTAATATTATATAGTTTTTATTAATATTTTCCATCTATTCTTGTGTACATTTACTTCAGATTTAAAAAAAAATTAGAATTAAAAAAAATATATATATATAATAATTTAAATTTATCGATAATGAATGCAATTATATTATTATTCAATTCTTAAACCTAATAATAATCTTTTTCTATTTTTAGCAATGGGTACAAATTCGGCGCAAAAGATTAAAACTTCTCACAAATTAAAAGCACAGACTAGTAAAATAGTATCGAGCTTTAAAACTCCATCTATGACTTGCACCATGCAAAGAGAATACATGGGTCACCGAGACGGTGTATGGGAGATATCTGTGAGCAGATCGGGACAACCTATCATAGCGACTGCTTCTGCTGATCACACAGCACGTATATGGGCGATAGACGGCAGCCGATGTTTGTTACAATATATCGGTCACAGTGGATCCGTCAATTCGGTACGATTCCATCCAAACCGAGAATTAGCATTATCGGCGAGTGGCGACGGTTCCGCTCACGTGTGGCAGGCAGCTGTCGATTGGGACATGCCAAAAAGAGTACCATCATTAGAAGAACTTCCAATAGCTAGCTCTGAACGGTCTGCTACGAATAATCTAATTAGTAATAACGACGAACAAGAAGATCCTCCGACTCTGAGAACACCGATACGAGAACTGCTGGGCCATTCAAGCGTTGTAATGGCCGCAGATTGGCTCTCCGGTGCCGAACAATTGGTTACAGCTTCTTGGGATAGAACGGCGAATTTATACGACACGGAAACCGGAGAAATTATACATACATTGTGCGGACACGATCAAGAATTGACTCATGTATCGACTCATCATACGCAAAGATTGTGCGTTACATCCAGCAGGGACAACACGTTCCGATTATGGGATTTTAGAGAACCAATACATTCGGTTTCGGTATTTCAAGGTCATACAGAGTAAGTGTCATTGATGTTAATACTAATTTATACACTTATCTATAACACTAAATAAATATGATTAATATTTAATATGTCTCTTACAGAACAGTAACATCTGCAGTCTTCACAAGGGAAGATAAAATTGTATCTGGTTCAGATGACAGAAGTGTAAAAGTATGGGAATTACGTAACATACGCAGTCCATTAGCAACAATACGCGGAGATAGCGCTGCTAACAGACTATCAGTTTCTAGTACCGGGATAGTGGCAATACCACATGATAATAGACAGATACGTTTATTTGATTTAAGTGGTCAACGTCTAGCAAGATTACCTAGAACTAGTAGACAGGTAATATATGTGTATATATATATATGTGTGTGTGTGTGTGTGTATATATTAGGCATATTTTTATATTTATATAAAAAAAAAATATATTTAAAAAATAGAGTATTTATTAAATAAAATCAAAAGTTACTTTTATCTCTGACAAAATTAATTTTTTGATATATTTATTATTTTTTGATAGTTTCTAATATTATATAGTTTTTATTAATATTTTCCATCTATTCTTGTGTACATTTACTTCAGATTTAAAAAAAAATTAGAATTAAAAAAAATATATATATATAATAATTTAAATTTATCGATAATGAATGCAATTATATTATTATTCAATTCTTAAACCTAATAATAATCTTTTTCTATTTTTAGCAATGGGTACAAATTCGGCGCAAAAGATTAAAACTTCTCACAAATTAAAAGCACAGACTAGTAAAATAGTATCGAGCTTTAAAACTCCATCTATGACTTGCACCATGCAAAGAGAATACATGGGTCACCGAGACGGTGTATGGGAGATATCTGTGAGCAGATCGGGACAACCTATCATAGCGACTGCTTCTGCTGATCACACAGCACGTATATGGGCGATAGACGGCAGCCGATGTTTGTTACAATATATCGGTCACAGTGGATCCGTCAATTCGGTACGATTCCATCCAAACCGAGAATTAGCATTATCGGCGAGTGGCGACGGTTCCGCTCACGTGTGGCAGGCAGCTGTCGATTGGGACATGCCAAAAAGAGTACCATCATTAGAAGAACTTCCAATAGCTAGCTCTGAACGGTCTGCTACGAATAATCTAATTAGTAATAACGACGAACAAGAAGATCCTCCGACTCTGAGAACACCGATACGAGAACTGCTGGGCCATTCAAGCGTTGTAATGGCCGCAGATTGGCTCTCCGGTGCCGAACAATTGGTTACAGCTTCTTGGGATAGAACGGCGAATTTATACGACACGGAAACCGGAGAAATTATACATACATTGTGCGGACACGATCAAGAATTGACTCATGTATCGACTCATCATACGCAAAGATTGTGCGTTACATCCAGCAGGGACAACACGTTCCGATTATGGGATTTTAGAGAACCAATACATTCGGTTTCGGTATTTCAAGGTCATACAGAGTAAGTGTCATTGATGTTAATACTAATTTATACACTTATCTATAACACTAAATAAATATGATTAATATTTAATATGTCTCTTACAGAACAGTAACATCTGCAGTCTTCACAAGGGAAGATAAAATTGTATCTGGTTCAGATGACAGAAGTGTAAAAGTATGGGAATTACGTAACATACGCAGTCCATTAGCAACAATACGCGGAGATAGCGCTGCTAACAGACTATCAGTTTCTAGTACCGGGATAGTGGCAATACCACATGATAATAGACAGATACGTTTATTTGATTTAAGTGGTCAACGTCTAGCAAGATTACCTAGAACTAGTAGACAGGTAATATATGTGTATATATATATATGTGTGTGTGTGTGTGTGTATATATTAGGCATATTTTTATATTTATATAAAAATTTATCTTTCTAACCAATTCGTAAAATTAATAACTTTGTGTTTTGTTGAAATATATTAATGTCAACTAAAAAAACCTAAAATGCTGAAATTGCAAAAAGTTATGCAGTTATTATAGGTGATTTTAAACTTTTATACAAGCATTATTGCGTAATATATAATGAGAATAGATTATAAATATATTCGATCATTTTTTTTTAATATGTGTTACATATAATTATTATACATAGAAATATTACATAGCATGATTGATTGAATTTCTTCCTTCATTCTCGATACTATAAATATATTAAAACTAAATAACATAATTTTGTTTGCAGGGTCATCGTAGAATGGTGTGTTCTGTTGCTTGGTTGGAAGATAATAATGTGTGTAATTTATTTTCTTGCGGTTTTGATAGATTAGTTTTAGGTTGGAGTGTTCTTCCTGTCAAAGATGCTTAAACATCAAAAATTGTATGGTTGTATATCAGACACTTTATGTCATGTTAATGTGATATTGGGAATATTTAGGTGCAATTTAGAAATGGAAGTACATATGTAACTATATAGCAAAAATCCAGCAATTAATCCAATCAAAGAGCCTCCCTTTCCACTCTTGCAGACAACTGCAATAAATAACCGAAATATATATTATATGTATTATATTTAAACGATTTATCAAAGAGATATTAAATTATAAACAAAATGTGCGATTTTAAAATTGCAATAAAAACTGTGAATGTCTTATATAAATTTCATTTTTTACATGTATCTTACATAACAGCTTCATACCTGAGTATGCAGTGAAGAGACATAAAACAGTGTAACCTTCGATAAGAAGGTAATATGGATTCGAGGCTATATGCCTCCACACTATTCCCAAAAATCCCAATAATTTTCCACAACCTCCAACTATTAAAGCGCAACTTAAATCTCTTACACTGTATTTATATGGTTTTTTACCAATGATAAACCATTTTAATTCGGTTACTAGAATAACTATACAAATAAATGCTGCAAAAGCAAATGCTGTATGTAGCAGCACACTGTAAAAATTACAATTATCTTGTGACACATTGTTAAAGACCAAATCTGATGCATTTAATTCTGTTTTGCTTATCTCGCAGGAAAACCAAGCTCTGAATGATTCAGCTAGCCATAATATTATAACTAATTTCCAATACGATTTAAAATTGCTGTTGTACAAGAGATGCCTGTAAGCTGGTTTTTCTATCAGAATAAGATCTACAAAAACTATAACAGGATCATATTCGATATATTTGTCAGCTAACAAGCCACACTTTTCCTAAAATATGTTATAATGCAAAATTGAGTATATATGTTGGCATATGAATTCATAACATTTGACTTACACATTTTAAGATTTTAAGAACGCTTGGACAATATCTTCTAAAAAGCTCTTTGCATTCAGCTCCACAATTTATACAAATGTACATTTAGACAAAGATTTTTTCAAATATTATCTGAAATAAATAACGAATAAATAACATTAATTGTTTAAGATATAAAAAAAATAGATTTATATTATATTAGAATATTTTATATTGTTTATTATAATATTCTTGGAAGTGCTTGAATACATTTTTAATCAATTTAAGACAATTAAATTGAATTATAAAGCAAGATTAATAAGATATATGCTCTGCGCACATATAAATATATGAAACAATTACAAATTGATGATAATTTGCAAGACACATTTTTTACTGTATGGACAGTTACATTATTCATATTTATTATCTCAAGGATTTAGACTGAAATAATATCTCAATTATCGATTCTGATTCGGTTCCTGATATCGAGACTCAAGAGGAGCAAATATTTATTTAGAACGATAAATTTCTAATAGTCGCTTTCCATTTACATTAAAACTCAGATAATTCTCACTTGCGTTCTCTCTCGCTCGCACGTAGCATACATGCGAGTGAGAGAGAATGCAAGTGAGAATTATCTAAGTTTTGATGTAAATGGAAAGCAACATATATTTACTTTACTTCTTATATTTTTTCTTTTACTTTACTTCCTATATTTATATCAGCTGAACTGATAAAAATTGAATATATTTATCCATTGAATATGCTTACTCATGAAACATACACAAGCTGTGTGTACTGATTATACATATAGATAAGATAATATAGTGAAAGGAAAAGAAATAGTGGTGGTAGATATTCAAAGTAGCAAGTAACAGGAGAGGTAGCACATTAAAAGCACAGTTTTGCTTTGGTGTTTCTTTAAGATACATCAGACATGACATCAAATTCAAGTGTTCTTTTGCCAACAGGGCAAGCAATGCCCATTCTGGGATTTGGAACTTGGAACGTAAGTTCAGAAAAGAGCAATTTGTATTATGTATAATTCCAACAAACTGATATGTGTGTGTGTGTATGTGTTAATAATAAATATATATGTTATATATCAACAAAATGATCTATTTGTTTTGGAACAATAAAAGGCAAGCGGGAAAGA